CGGCATTCACGTGAAGCGTCACGTGGCAATTTCCAAGTTTTACAAATTATTCAAAAGGCATGTTACCTTCATATACATAAATCTTACAATTCACACAGGAATAACGAGATTTCTTTACGCGATAATAAAAAGATTACTCCATTTTCATTGAACTGTATAATGAAATTGCAATGAAGATGATAATGAGATAATAAAAATAAAAATTCTATTCTAAAAAGTAATCGCAAAAAATAGGTATATTAACAGAAAAAAATAAGTGACAGATATGTGATATATTACGTATGCTTATAATATTTCATTAGAATAATTATATTAATAATTTATTATAGCACAATCACTCTCTTCGACATAACGAGAATATGAATTAAAGTTGCAGAGCTCACAAGTTTCATATTTGTAATTTTAATTAGCGAAATATCATTCGCGCAACTTACATAAATTTATGTATTGATAAATTTGCATTATTTTCCAGGTATATCGCTTTGCAAAATTGTTACTATTGTAAAGATATATTCAAGTACCGACATGCTTCTTTCTATATCCAGGCTTTATTTCATAATTCAATACGTGACACCTCATCAGAATATTTCATTTCTCTTAAAATTTAATTTTTTTACCCTTATGTCAAGAAGATACCGCTCATAATTTTCTTTTTAATAATAATTTGATTAATGGTTTTATGTGAAAAATGCATTAACCTTTGTTCACTTAGTTAACTACACGGTGATTCTAACGTCCAGCATATATTTTTTTTTTGGAGTGATCGATTCGCCAGGTTGTGCGCCCTTCTATCGAAACGTTCTCCATTCTCACCCTCGCTCCATCCTCTGCCTCCATAAAGTTCCACCTACGCGCTCGCGCATTTAGAGAATCCGAAATGTTACCGCAGACGTCAGTACTAGATATCCTAGAATTTTCAGGACACAATTCTACAACGAAGTTAAAAAGACGAATTTTCGAGTTTAAAGAGAGCAAGAATCTGTTAGAATATTTATAAGATATTTGAATATCGTACCTATCTAGTTACCAATCGATAAAAAGAGAAAAGCTGTTATTAAAAAATTATTTGTACATACATTGTTTTTTCTTCCTTTCAGTAAAAATATTTTGTTGTCACTTTTATTTGAATAAAAAGATTATATCTAAGATTATTGAAGGATTTATAAAAAAATTTTTCGTTTGTGACACGTTGTGCAGTACAATTGCTTTTAATAATGTTTTTTATTAAACATTTGTGTATGTGTGTGTGTGTGTGTGTGTGTGTGTGTGTGTGTGTGTGTGTGTGTGTGTGTGTGTGTGTGTGTGTGTGTGTGTGTGTGTGTGTGAAACAGGTCTTGCTATTCCGCTCTAAATGTGGTTTAGAGCTTTTAATGTCCAACATCAAATTTCAATTCCAACGGTACCAATGAGTCCTTTTTTCTACCGTCTAATGTTAGCTGTCGAGAAGACGTACCGGAACATCTCGTATATGCTTATACGCGTAATGCTTCAGGAAAATCGTTGGGGCTTGATCGGATTCGCTCGATTCTTCGCGAATAAAAAGATCAACCTACGCATACGTGGCGTTCGCCAGGAAATAACGCGCTCCGAAGAGAGCGATATTAGCGGAGGCTTTTCAGCTTCTGCACAAACTCGTGGTTCACCCTCCCCCCCCCCCCCCCCAAGCCGCGTGAAAGGGTGAGAGGACAGCGGAAAGGGGGAGAGGGAGAGGGCGCGATCTCTCTTCGTCGCGGGGGAGCATCGCGACGCGGTCGGGGGCGCAGACTCGCGGCGGCCAGCTTGGGGTAGTCCACGCCCCCCGCTTCGCCCCCGGCGGGGGCGTTGAATTCGCGGAGGAAGGCTAAAGGGGGATGGTAAGGGGTGAACGGGTGACGAGCGCGGCGGGACGCGAGAGGATGGTTTCTGGCCGGGGGAGATGGCGGGGTGACACGGGCGCTGCGCACCCCCGCGCGACGCCGCGCTCGTGACGTCACGGGGATTGAATCAATATCACACCACTAGTGCCCTCCCTTCGTCGTTGACGACGATCCTCGCGCGAGACGGCAGACGGTCGACCGCCTCAGTACGAGGTAGCCTCCGCGACTGCTCGGGACGACGACGTACACGGCAGCGTCGTTCCGAAAACGACAACGACGACGACGACGACGACGACGGCAGCGGCGAGAATCACGATCACGGTTACGACGACGGTTAGAACGACGCGCCGATCTGTTCGACCGATCCAGCACGCCCTCTTTGGGACCGGTAATTGCGCTTTCCGTCACGTGAAGCCGACTCTACACCTCGTCTTCGTCGCCGGTTTTCCTCCGACTTGATCACTGGTACCTTACCGATGGCATGCGCTAAGAACTGGTTTCACGTATTATGAGGTAGTCGCGGTCGCTACTTTTTGGGTTCCTGCAGAAATCGGGAGAGCTGTTCAGGAAAGGCGCAAGGAACTTGCTTGTAAGTAATTGCACGTTGTAATGTCTTGTGCGATCTTTACGGTAAATGGTGAATTTGAATTGTTATTCTGAAGCAAGGTTGTTCGGTAGAAAATTTAAGGATAAAAATTGTTTCGTCGTATCATTTTATTCTGCATAAAAGTTGCCATACACTTCATTATAACTATAGCTATGCGAAACAATCAAGTTTCAATCAATGCTATAACGCTATAAAGTGTTTATCGACCAGCTTTAAAATACACCTTTGCACTAAAATAATTTATATAAATCTGTAAATAAAAATAAAAGTGTATATATGTATTCTTGCACAGATTTAAAAATATGTGACTAGAGTAGCACTTGTGTGGAACGAATTTTATCGTGCGTCATAATTTTATCAAATTCTCCATTTCTCTTATAATACACATGTTTTTTCTCTAACGTTTTTACATTGATAAACTATAGCTAAATTTTAAACATTTGCAGACCATCTAGATGGTCGATTAATTTTAACTTTTGCTTATCTGATTATTTGCGTATTTCTAGAATGACCTGTAATCAACCTTAAAGTATATAAGAAAAAAGCAAGAGGTAAAAAATTTATTTTTTTTTTTAATTTTGTCAAAATAAATTTAAGAATATATTATTTACATAAAAGAGAAGAAAAACTTATTAAAAGTGAAATGTCATGGAAAATACATATATTGCAAAATCTTGAAAACTTTGCTTTTATACATTATAAAAATAAAATTAACACACAAATGACTGATAATAGACGATTATTTAAAAACAGCAATCTTTCATTTTATGCCCGAAAGTTTTTTGATATCATAAGAGAATTGATATTTCCACATAATCAAAAACTTCAACATTTTTTTCACAATTTGCGCATTATATTAATATAAACGGCAAGTTTTTAAAAATATGAGATTTATGGTTAATTAGAAGGTACTTAGCGTTGATAAAACGATTTCTTCGGTCAATTTCAGTATTAAATAATCTTGATACAAACGTTGCTTTAAACATGTAATTGAAATATTCGGTGAATCTCTTCGTCTTAAAATAAAGCCTTTTCTGGGTAACTTTTTTGCTCGTCCGTTCTTTTATATCGAATATCCATAATAAGGTAATCTTAGTTTTTCCAGGTGAAGAACCGTGCTGATCCCAGCAATCGGTGCCGGTGCCGTGGGCGCAGAAGAAAGGCGAGGGGGGAGGGTGGAAACGAAGAAACCAGGCAGACAGGGAAGCAGCGGGCTCGGTGAGTTGGGTGAAAATCGATGGCCATCAGCGCCCATGGGCGGCCTCGCGTTTAGGACAAGGAATAGCCCCTCCCAGAAGACCTCGCTCCGGTGGGGCGACTGCTGCCCCCCAAACTCTAACCCAGCGTCGTCGTCGGTCGCCTGGAAGCACCATCATCAGGACATGCCGCCGGTGCCCGTGTGAGGCTGCCCCCCGCTGTTGCGTGATTGTACTTCGCGGGGATTTCAAAGGTACACTCTCCCCCTATCTATAGTCGCGGATGATCATCGGGTTTTTTCTCGCGAGGCATACTGATGTGCTTTTCGTCGGTTAAAAATTCCCTTGTCATAATTTCGTCAAACGACGATTTTAATAATATATTGGAAACTTTGGTCTTATTCTTGTTCCTGAAGAAGTAGTCTGTGTCATGAAAGAAATTCTTGGCAATCCTGCGCTTCATTGGGGGGAGTACACAGATATTTTACAAACTGATTATCTACCTATCGATTTTAACACATTATTTGCTCGCAATATGATTTAGCAAAAACGTATTTTTATTTCTATCGATCTCGCTTCGCAGTTCGAAGATTTGAACATTATCTTTCAATTCGTATATTTATCTTAGAACACATATATTTGATATAATTCAATAAGAGAGAATTGTAATCCTTTGTGCAAAATTAAAAAAGTTTTTTTTTGTAAAGAAAAGATTTGTAATTTTCTTCCATTTTACATCTCTGCGTAAATGCGTATCTGTATTTAATCAAAGCTGTGTCTTTTTGAAGCCGAGCTGCGCGATGCCTCGGGTAGACCGCGCCTAACAGGATTAGAGGGTGAACTCGCTCGAGCGATTTAAATGCCCCTCGGGTAGAAACATAATATTTGCGCTTAGCTGCACTTGTTGGGCGCGAGCGTGACAGCCACAGTGTTAATCAAGCGGAAGACTTTAATACTCTCTACGCGAAATTGATAAGTTCTTTGTAAAACCCACGCTGAAGTTTTTGCATCCGCGATGATATTAACCGTCATCTGCTAGCGAACAAAGAAAGAGAATCCGTTTGCCTATATTTTTTTGTCATGCTTTAACAGTCAAGAATGCATTGCACTATGAAGAAAGAGTTTGTCACAGCTCAAAAGGTCAATTCTTATTAAGCAAATTTGTAAAAAGCAAGCGGTTAAATTATAATATTACAAGTTAATAGACAAAATTCATTCAGTGATAGATGATATATTTAATTTTAAAATAATAATTTTTAGAAAGGAAAGTATATAATTTTTATTCTTACGATATCTTTTTTTGGCTTATCACAGTCTTTTCAATAATATTTTTGAATTATAACATTTATATTTTCCAAGTGCGATATATGATTATATATATATATATTTTTTTTTTTGCCACGCTATTACATTTTTTTATTTGACTTTATCAGATAAGAATCCAAATATTGCAAAATTTTCTCGGATTCTTTTCCGCCAGAAAAATTTTCAAAAAGTAAAAATTTTTTAAAAATTGTATGAATTCAGATATCCGAACGATCCTAAAGCGGATCAACCGCCGAACTTTTCGGACCTACGTCTCCGTCAGCTCGAGCTCGCGCCGGTGGACCTCTACTCCCCGAAGATGATTAACATCGCCGGGGTGGTCTCGATCGTTCTATTCTATCTGCTGATCCTCGGCGTGGGAATATGGGCGGCCAGGAAGAAGGAAGCGGGCAACGACTCCGAGGAGGAGGTTATGCTAGCCGGTCGCTCGATCGGGCTCTTCGTCGGGATATTCACGATGACGGCGACCTGGGTTGGCGGTGGTTACATCAACGGCACCGCCGAGGCGATCTACACGAGGGGTCTAATTTGGTGTCAGGCGCCCTTCGGATATGCCCTCAGTCTCGTTTTCGGTGAGTTTAAAATGCGCTTCGGCCTTTTCGCTGCTTATTTGTTACATCCGGATATACATTGACCCTTAACTTCTTAATGACATACGATATATCTGGTACTCCGGGATACAAGAGAAAGTAATTTATGCTATTACTGTATTTTTAAAATTTTTTCACGTGAAAGTTAGGCAAATATTTGGACAAAAAATATATATATGTAATCTCGAGAATACATATATTTCCAATACGCATTGCATATAAATATCTAAAAAAATACATTTTATTTCGTTTACAACAAGTTATTTATGTTTTTTTGTATAAATGGTGAACGTGAGGTGAAACTCGAGAAAGAGAAAAGTTGCAATTATAAATTAATTTATACATTTTTCTTAAATTGCAACTTTCTTGATGTTTAAATCCTGCTTTGGTAACTTATCGTATGTCAAAGTTAGGAAACTGGTAAAGAAATATTAATAATAGCATTATCTGTACGGCGTAGAAACGCATTCGAAACTTTTTTCACGATGTACTGTATAAGCTCATCTTAATCAGTCAGGTGGAGTTTATAATCACAAGCTCGCGCAAAGACCAACGAAAGAACGATCGAGAGAGATTGTCGATCGATGGCACGGCTTTCTTTATACGATGTTAGACAGAAATGCTTATGGTCACGAGTTACAACAATAGAATTCTTGTAATATAACAGACAGCTAGCGAAATGTTTGCTATCGGCACTCTTGCACATATAAAGGCGATAACTTTGTTACCAATGTCTCGCCCGCAGCCGAACGACCTCGACAAAGAATAAACGCGACTATAAGTCGTCCATTGATAGTGTAATTTTGCCGTATCTATATCTATGAATGATCGTCGAGTAAAACATTGATAAAAAAAATTTATGAGTAAATTTTTTCGAAGTACAGATTTCTAGTTTTCGAAATCTCGTTTGCTAAATTTTTGTCTACTTCTTTCAATTTTTATGGAACCGAGAAAATTGAAAAATGGTTTTCTCACTTTGGATTGTAATACATTAAATTAAATTTTTTTATTTGGCACATACTTTGTTCTTTATTCTTTCATATAAAATTTAATTAAAAAACTGTCTGAACAACTTACATTATTATAAGATGATTAAAAAGAATTATCAATCGAATAATCAAGCGTTAGACTTTCACGATATAATTCAGCGAACTATTTTTGATTGTTTAGAAAACGGAACATTTCTTCGTGTAAATCTATAGAAAAGAAATCGAATTTATGCGCGAAAGCCATAGTCTTGTATTAAAAGAATAAATTGCTTCAGAGGCGTACTTGACACGATCGTTAAAGATTATCCAAGCTGAAATGTATTTAAAATAAAATATATAAAGACAGAAACTAATAAAATAAAGAGAGAAAATGTTTTTTAATGAAATTCAAATATATTTTTTCCGATCATGAGATAGTTGTTCAAGAAAAACATCTTTAATTAGAATGTAAATAGTTTTATTAATTTTATTTCTTTAACGATCGAGAATTTTAGAGATGTATCTTCGTAGGAGCTTTTTGTTTATTTTATTTTTTTGTTTAAAAATTCTCCGAAACATTTCGTATCTAATAAAACTAATCGAAATTGTGTTAGTGATTCGTTATTCTCAATGATGTCAATGATTCTGTTTTAGGTGGTATTTTCTTCGCGAACAAGATGCGACAGCAGGGGTACGTCACGATGCTGGATCCGCTTCAAGACGCGTTCGGGGAGCGGATGGGGGGCCTTCTTTTTTTGCCTGCCCTTTTCGGCGAGGTTTTCTGGGCGGCGGGCATCCTCGCAGCCCTTGGCGCCACGCTGGCGGTCATCATCGACATGGACCAGGGCACCTCGGTCATCCTGAGTGCTTGCATCGCAGTTTTCTACACCCTCTTCGGCGGTCTCTACTCCGTTGCTTACACCGACGTCATTCAGCTCTTTTGCATATTCATCGGTCTGGTAAGCAATTGCAATCGTAATTATTACGTAAAAAATGTATAACTTGATATCTCGATCTCTCGATATATATATATATATAGTTTTATTTGCTTTATTAATATATTTTTTGAACAGCCTTGATATACAACTATCTAAATGTACATGAGAATGATTATGCATATATTTAATAAATTATAAATATAAAATTTTATCGAGGAATGAAAAGTCCATTTAAAATTATATCAAAAATAAAATCGTATTCTATCATATCATTAAGCACTATTGCACGTCTCTTTTTACATCTCAAGTAGAGCAAAACTCCGATAAATTTATCTGTAGTTTGTTTGATCTCGTGCAATGGACATGGTCGGACGAACCTCCGGTACAATACGAGCTGATCGATATCGAGGCCCCGCTACTGCGAGCGTTTATATTACCAAATTTATATACTCGATGACGTATAAGCAGTGACCCGTTTACCATTAAGAATGTTATCGAGCTATTATCTCTACAAGACTCTGTCGGAGAGACTTCAGTTAATACAATACGGCCAAATTTAAAATTCTACAAACTCAAAGATCTTATCATTTTAAATATGTCAATTGGAATTAAGAATTGGATTATAAAGATAGAAATGGATGTGTTTTTGTTAAATTTATAATACGCTGTTAAATTAATTAACAAAGGTTACATTTAATGCTTGTACTTTCAAGTATTGAAGCATATAATTTTAACATTACATTTTCACATTATAAACTCATTTTTAACTCATTTTGTGCTCATTTACGATATTTTCGTTTTGAGCTTTGCGCAACTTCTCTTCCTGAATGCAAACTCATCCCTCCATCACGAGATCGTCGTTCATTAACTGTGATTAATCGCGATAATATCAGGCCTTTCGAAGATAATCGTAGTAATGAAATGGATGCTCTATCTAGAAAAAGAATTTGAATGGCTTGCATCTCAACCAGATTAAAGCTTTATATTTTTTTATTAAGAATCATACGTGAAAAGAACCCTTAAGATACATTTTATTAATATTACTATAATTATTTTCTCTAATTGTATTAATCGAAAAGTTCTATGTAAAATAGATGCTACTTTATCATGATATTTTCATATACATATAGAGATAGATAGAGAGTTAATTTTTTATTAATGAGTGCTTCTTTATTTTTTATAAAAATTTTAGTCATTGTGGAGTAAATAATTTTATTTTATTTATAATAAAATAACATATATTTTTTGAGTACTGTTAATGTTTTTTATTAAAACAATTAATTTAGTGTTTTTTCTTTAAAGATTAACAGTTTTGCAAAAGATATTGCTAATCATGATGTCGAGTGATTAAAAGTGTCAAGAATATCGGTATAGATATCAATTCGTATGCAATGTATGCAATTTTGTAAAAAGCAGCGTAATGCTTTTTGTTGATAGTGGATGTGTATCCCGTTTGCTTGGACGAATCCGAAGGTAGAGTCCCTTAGTTCCATGGACGTTGATTGGATCGGCAAAGTGAATCCCGAGGAGTATTGGTTTTATTTGGATTACGGTTTACTTTTGATATTCGGCGGTATACCTTGGCAAGTGTACTTCCAACGCGTCCTCTCCTCAAAAACCGCGGGGAGAGCTCAAATATTGAGTTACGTTGCCGCCGTGGGCTGCATCCTCATGGCCATTCCTCCCGTTCTTATTGGAGCGATCGCCAAAGCAACTCGTAAGTACCATACATTTAATTACCAATTAATTAATTGAAGCGGCAGGCTGATTTCATTAATTTGTCATGCCGTAACATTGTTCTTTGTAGAAGATATTTTTGCTGTGTCTCGTATTCCTTTTTCAAACTTATTTTAATTTTATTTTAGATATTCTCTCGCATTTTTAGAAGTGACATCTAACTGTCTTATTTCTCATATATATATATATTATCTCTTATATGAAAATCTCATCATATTGAAATAGAACAAACATAAGCGAAACGTTGAAATAAATATTTAAATAAAATGCGTAGACATTAATTTGATAAAGCGGCATTTTTTTTCATTTTTTTCTTGCGGAAAAAGGAGACATCTTAACGATCGGTTCGGCAATGAGAAAGAGCCCAATTTGGGTATATTAATAATAAAACGAGGCGTCTTTCGCTTCGTCCTCTCCATCCCCAAGATCGTCACCGTCTCGTTCGAGGGTGCAGTAACGCGTCCCCTTCGCAAGCCTCCCATCCTCCGATACGAGACGATCGAATTAGAGAAACCCGGGCTGTCTGACGTCCCACGCTCTTCTCTTCGCATTCGAAGGCTACTTGACATTTGGTGGCGTGACAAAGAGAGAGCTGCTGGTATTTACAAGCGGCGCGGTCGGCGAACGAGGAGGGGCTAGAAATGGTCGCGAAGGGCGCGGACGATCGAGGGGTGTCTCGGGTGCCCCGCAGCGTGTACAATAGCGTGGGACCTTGCCATGTGGCGTTGCCTTCATGAGGGCGAGGGTCGTAATGCGACTCGCTCGCTACAACGCAAACGCGCGACTAGGTCGCCGGAAATAATTCGGTATCCTGCTATCCTGCATTGGTATGTTGCGGAAGCATCACAGACTGGGGAGAAGAAAGAGAAAGAGATACGTATAGAGAGAGAGAGAGAGAGAGAGAGAGAGAGAGAGAGAGAGAGAGAGAGAGAAGTGTAGGTAGAGAGGGAAAGAATACACATACATACACTGAGGGTTGGGAGGCTTCTATCGATCCTCACAATTTGTCGCGGTGAAAGTACGCGTAGCGTCGTAACATCAGTGTATAGGAACGATATAAAAGACAAAAACCCAGGAAAACGAAGGTACATTTATTTTACGCGTTGCCGTTAATAGATAAATCGTGTGTCGACATCGGTGATATGTGTGTCATTAGCGATTAACATTAGCGATTAAGCGGCGTTAAATTATCGTTTATACGATTCTCGCAGACAGGAGAGAGAGAGAGAGAGAGAGAGAGAGAGAATTGTAGGTAGATAGGTAGAACAAGTGATATATAGATCGAAACGATGGGAGTAAACTTGTTATTCATTTGTCCTTTAGAGTATTATATATTATTTTAGCTACATATTAGCTGATATGTATATATAGTAGCTATATTAAATATAGTTCTTTATTAATATTAGAAGAATGTCAGGCACGTAGGCGGATGAAAACGAGAAATAGAGAAATAAAAAAATAAATTACGCTCGTGGACGCAAAATCGGATAAATAATAAAGATAAGATGACCATAATAGGGATTGAATTAATAAAACTTGTCCTCAAGCGAAATATTATTTTAAAGGATTATACATTATTTTAATTACGTTAATTTAATATAAAAATTAATACGAACGATTGTACATTAATATCTCGTAAAAGATATACAATCATTTATTCCGCAACGAAATTTTAATTTCCTGAGTATCTTTTATAATATATTTGACATAAAAATTACTTTTCTCGTGAAAAAATTATAACAAGAAAATAAAAGATATTTGTACCTTGAATTTTTGCTGGCTGGTCATCAGAAATGCGATTTTTGTGTTGCAGCTTGGAACGAGACGGGATACACTGGTCCTTATCCTTTCACGGAGACGGAGACCAGCATGATTCTGCCACTGGTTCTGCAATATCTGACACCGGATTACATTTCCTTCTTCGGATTAGGAGCGGTATCGGCGGCGGTGATGTCTTCTGCGGACAGCAGCATTCTCTCTGCTAGTTCGATGTTTGCTAGAAATGTTTACAAATTAATCTTCCGTCAGCGGGTAAGTTTTTCTGGTATTATATCATCATTCTTCCTCTCATATGTATTTTTACCTTGCTTGCATTTACGCGCACAGGCGAAACCTCTTGACGCGAGTATGTCGCACGTGTCGGAGCATATTTCTAACGTGTCTTTGTATAAAATGAGACCTTATAACGAGCTTCTTGTATGCAAAGTCTCCAAGTTACTATGAATATTATGACACAAATTAATTCTTGTAACTATTCTGTTCTTGCATTTGTTAATTTTTTAACACATCAATTTATATAATTTAATCTTCTTTTTATTAACTTTTTACAAAGAAAATACTTTCTTATATAAATTATAATTATTTTTATGTAAGAGATCAAGTAGGTTTTTTCAAAGTTGAGATATTTTTTTATCAATTATAAAAACACAATTTTATATATTTCTAATCTTTCTTCAATAGAAACAAGTTGCTGGAAATATTTTTTCCCTTTGCATATTACATATGCCTGAATTGCATGAATTGCACATTTAAATGTTACGTCTTGCTATGCACTGTTCGATTGCGTTGATTTTTATTTAAAATATGTTACGCAACCGTACAATCGACTTCTCACTACTTGTTATCGCATTATTGACGAAATGTAATGCACGACACACAAAAGGTTGTACTTGTGACGAATTTTGCGGGATGTTGTTTCCATTATTCGTTTATCGCCGGCGACGACGATACTGACCCTGACGTGGGTCCGCGATCTCCTGTGCAGGCGTCGGAGATGGAGATCATCTGGGTGATGCGGGTGGGAATCGGCGTGGTCGGTGTGCTAAGCACCGTGATGGCACTCACGATACCGTCGATCTACGGCCTCTGGTCGATGTGCTCGGATCTGGTCTACGTGATCCTGTTCCCGCAGCTGCTGATGGTAGTTCATTTCAAGGACTACTGCAACACCTACGGTAGTCTGTCAGCGTACATAATCGCCTTCCTGGTGCGTGTCAGCGGCGGCGAGCCGATGATGGGACTGCCGGCGCTGATTCACTATCCGGGATACGACGAGGAGTCGGCGACACAGATGTTCCCGTTCAGAACGATGGCGATGCTGTTATCGCTGATTACTCTGGTGGGTGTGTCGTACGGCACGCAGTTCGCCTTCCTGACCGGTCGGCTCGCGCCGGGCTACGACGTCTTTAGATGCGTGGTGAACATTCCGGAAGACGTCGAGCGAGTGGGCCCGGACCCGGCCGAGGGCGAGCAGATGGCGGTCCTAGCTGCGGGCGTCGGAAGGCTCTACGGCAGCAAGGACGAATCGAACGGCCGAGTGAATCCTGCGCTCGAGCCGGACTACGACATGGAGCCGGGATGTACGATGGTCGGTGGTGCGCCGGATGGCGTCGTCGGCGGCGGCGGCGGTGGCTGCACCGGGGGACACCTGGTGCCGCACGTGCCCGGTGGTGCGCCCCGGCAGCCGCAATCCAGCACCGCGTTCTAAGTCCTGGTTCCGTGATCGGATGCTGTGACCAACAATAAGTGTGGCGGTGCGGGTCTCTGTCTTTCGTTCCTCTTCTTCTCAGCTTCCCTTTCCAATTCTCTTCTTCTACTTTTATTTATTATACTCTCTCTCCGGTGATAATTTCAATTGAAATCTGTCTACATAGGAGTTCTCTTGATAGCATAAATAGAGTCTGACAAGCATAACCGGAGCTTGCTTTCATGTCGAAAAGTTCTATTATTTTCTCTCGAGGATCTTATTTCGATAAATTACACTATATATATATTTCTAATTTTAAAACATGTGTGCTAAAACATTTTTATTTGCTAAAAATATTTATTGACCTAAAAGTTACGCAGTAATTTTTAAAATACTTTGTTAAAATATTTATTTGCTAAACATGTTTACCGAATAATTTTTTTATTTTACCTGGAAGAAATTGTTTTCGCTGCATAAGAGTTAATACTAGAACATCCAATTCGTTTTCGCACGCATTTCTTTGCATCTTGAAACGTAATTTATTGATGTGGTATGATAATCATATGTCTAACATTCCTTTCTCTAATAACGTGTCTCCGAGAATTACGAAGATAATTATCGCGATTATTATTAAATGAATAACCGTCAGTGTGACATAAATTACCTATCGTGGGATTGTTCTAGTGTTAATCGACTTTCGGTCACTTACGCAAACTTACGGTGTGTCGTTTTACACGTACACACACACATACATACACACTTTTCCTTTTTCTACCCGCCCTATACGACTACGGAGCTCCGAGATAAGCCAACAATGCGGTGGCCTGCGGTAAGTCCGACACAAAATTTCTTTCGTACTTGCGCACGCGCGTGTATGTGTCGTGTATGAATATGTGTATATGTGTGTGTGTTTGTGTGTTTGTGTGTTTGTGTGTGTGTGTGTGTGTGTGTGTGTGTGTGTGCGCGATGTGTGTATGTGGCTGTGTGTTTGCGTTTGAATGTGTATGTTCGCACGCTGCTGGTGCCCGTGTAACGATCTGTACCTGCCCGCGTTTGCTCGCGTTCGTGTTTCCTGTCGCTACTCAAACAATGCAAAAGAAGAGGAAGAAAAAGAAAACACACGGTAAAGAGATACAGATGGATGAAGATAAAGATAGGATGACCGGAAAAGTACGCGCGAGCGACAAGGGGATAAGCGTATCGTTTCCGAACCGGAAGTCGGAGCTTTGGGCGGGCCTGCGGTAAGTCCGACACAAAATTTCTTTCGTACTTGCGCACGCGCGTGTGTGTATGTGTCGTGTATGAATATGTGTATATGTGTGTGTGTTTGCGTGTGTGTGTGTGTGTGTGCGCGCGATGTGTGTATGTGGCTGTGTGTTTGCGTTTGAATGTGTATGTTCGCACGCTGCTGGTGCCCGTGTAACGATCTGTACCTGCCCGCGTTCGCTCGCGTTCGTGTTTCCTGTCGCTACTCAAACAATGCAAAAGAAGAGGAAGAAAAAGAAAACACACGGTAAAGAGATACAGATGGATGAAGATAAAGATAGGATGACCGGAAAAGTACGCGCGAGCGACAAGGGGATAAGCGTATCGTTTCCGAACCGGAAGTCGGAGCTTTGGGCGTATTCGGGCCGGGCATCCCTACCCCGCACCGCCAATTAGGCCTAGTGATTTCCTTGTTTTCTTTTTGGAGAAAAGTATATATATTATATATATATATATATATATATATATATATATATATATATATATTTAGAGTATAAAAAAAAGTTCTTCTCTAAATATCAAAATTAACTAAATGACATATATATATATATTTAGAGTTTAACGAAAAGCTGCTTGAGAGCATCTCGCGAAGTGATGAGCGATTTGCCTGATCCGAGAAAATTGCGAGAATTGTAAAAATTCCCGTTGGAGCTGGATCGATTGCGCGGTTGTTTTGTTAGAAGTGAATTAAACCGAACGGCCAACATGTTTGTATAGAATTATAGACGTATAAACGTATAAGCGTATCGCGTACTTTCTCTCCATTTTGCGTGTATTGGACGCACGAACGAGAAGGAGAATTCATCATTAAATGCGAGGTTAACCGCAATCTCTGACCCCTGCAAATAATGCAACTTCAATCTTCGCTTAATACAAAAAAAAAATTTAATAGGATTGAAACTTGAAGCTTAGTAATCGACGTGTTTAGAAGTTGTGAGGTAAAACGTCGAGAAAGAGTATGCGATGTATGTGCTTGATATCTCTCATATTTTTACTTCGCGCGTTTCGTGCTAAAGACAACTATCTGATTCTCATCAATCTATTATTTAAGGAAATAAATATGAGAAAACGTTTTTAAAGAGAAACGTGAGATAATCAGACAGATACATTTAGCGTCACAAACGGACGATAAAAATATGATTCGAAAGAGCCCATGAACGATTAATATTTATAGTTAAATTAGATGTCGACAATTATTGTTTTATATAGTGTGTCGATATTTCAATAATTTTTCAATAATAATTATCGAGAAATGTCAAGTTTTCAAATCGACGCATTGTTTCAAAAGAACTTGATAATAATTATTATAAAGAAAATAATTCAGTATCAACGATATATAATGTAAAATATTTTACTATTTTTCTTGGAAATAATTATTTTTTATGACAACTTTTTTAGATATTTTTTTCTCATTATGGAGATTCAATAATGTTTTGGACATTTTTTGCTGTACTGGCGATAAATATCGATCGACCGGCGCTCCTTCGGCGTGTTAGAAAAAAAAAAACTCCATCCATCCAATATGCCATCCTATCACGTCTCTTACTACAATTAGTTTGCGCTATAATTAGTTAATGTGCGTTGTAATGTCGGCTATCCATGTCGGTATTAGAAGAAGAGCTAAAACGAAGCTTTTGTATTTGCAATCGATCGTTCTTCCCTCGCTTCGCCCAGTTGAATATACAAGACACGTATACATACATAGAAACACATATATTCATTTACATGCTAGAGTACAGAAATACATATGTAAATACATTGTTAGAATCGGGTGGCATCGGAAGATGATCTGGCTAGAGAGAGAATGGCTGTTCGTCATAGGATTTCAGATTCTTCGCGACTCATGCGCGACTTCATTATACCGATCATTCGTTAAAAGGAACGGTTATGCAAGAGATTGTCTTTATTTATAAAAGAAAGCAGTATCAAGTAATATTTCGTGGAAAATTAATTCTATAACATTTTGGAATCTAACGAAAAATCTCTAATAGATATATTGAAATTTTCATATTAAACGTATTGAAATTCTTTTCGTCAGTAGTTAATAGTTTGTGTATTTAGAATATTTGTTATCATTATATTTCTTTGCTAATATTATTATATTTCTGCATCAAACGTGACTCGCGAAACTTTATCAGGCAGATCGCTCGTAGCGCAGATCCGTTGTGTTTATCATATAGTATATAATATAAATGTATGATGTAATCATGAACAGTAAAGTAAGAGAGATGGATAATTTAGTGAATAATGAGAAAACAGAAAGTTTAGAGACCACTCTGTCTCTCTCTCTATATATATATATACATACGTTATGCATACATGAGAAGACTAAAGAATCCATAGGTGTTAATATCGCAGGTACGAATTATCGCCGTCATTGTTAATTTTGAGGGGATCCATTTGTTACGTCGTTCATATATATGAATATATATATATATATATATATATAAATATTATAGCGCCGTTCTCGAAGATGCTACGCAATATACGCGCATAAATTGCCTAGAAAAGATATAGAATATTACGCTCGTTATACCTGATTGCTCATGTATTGTATCATTATTTAACGCCAAAGGATGAGGACGTCGTGTTTCGAGACTGACATCAAGAGGCGGAAATCTAAAATACGATAACTTTCGGAGAAAAGTATAATGCAGGGAGGGGGGAGGGATTAAAATGAAAATATGTGATACATTAAATAATTTAAAAAAAATTGAAATGTTTCTGAAAATTGTTACAGAAGACTGTAACAGAGAGAAAGTGCTTAAGTGTTTTACAGATCCGTCTCTGTGATCGGCGTTACATGCGACTGTTTGATTTTGCAACATTACAAGCGTACTCATGAGTGCGCTCGGTTCTCGAATCTCGAAACGCGACATTGCGTGCAACGATGGGATGAGATACTTTAGATAATTTTGTAGTTAGTAGAACGGTTTTGTATAATCTTAGTTCCTACTCACCCGATGAATTGTGATAAGAACGTCTCTGACTTGATAATTTTGCGCATGTAACGCGGTTAAGTTAGAATTTTATCGTTTAATTGTTTCTCTCTTACATCGCCGCGTGAATGATAGATTCATCGTGCTTACAAATATCTCTAGTTATAATTTTTCCAGACAAGATGCATATATATATATATATGTATATCGGTTACTTCTACTATAGAGCAGTGTATGAGACGAGTATATTTTTCTAATTTGCAAAGACATTTTTTTATTCTCTCGTTAGAGCAGAATTGCTCGCTTGTTAAATTGCTCATAAGACTCACGTAAGACTTGCCTCCGTGTTAAAATTTTTGAATGTGCAAGATTGTTAATTCGTAGGCAAATAACAGTTATGAAAATATATAGAATCTCATATGTTTGAGACATCAGAATTTTAATATTGATACTATTAAATGACGATGGATATGGAGGCGCTTTAAGTAATTTAATATCGTATATGTGAAAGATAAAAGGGGAGGAGTGACGTATTTATAATCCAAGTATCAAGAGAGTTAAAGAAAGCTTCTTTTATACTTCAACAATCAACAGTAATCTAGTAAAAAAGTCCCTTATGTATAATTCTAAAAAATATTCTAAGTTATCCCAAATATGTACATACGTATATTTTATCTCCGTATCTTTACTATTTTTATAAATTATTTATTTCAGAAAGTATCTTGAGTGTTGGAAATGTTAATATCTTTCTTTTTACTTTTTAAAAACTGCTTATGATAGTTCTTCTTTCTCCGCGAAAGACTAAAGACGTTGTAAACATCATTTAAATCGTTTGTGGCGCTACGTCGTTCATTCATGCACCTTGTTCGTTCACGAGCTTCTCATCCGCGAAATTATTCAATGACTACTCCTAATGTCTGATGCGTTTCCTGATAAGTGCCAACGTATTATCCGCTCGGTAAATCTTCAAGTGAAATTACGAGCGCGAGGATGCTTGTTCGAGAGAGAAACAGAAGATGCGCTCGCGCTATGCGATATGCGACTGGAATTGCAAAATGGGGATATACGAATGAGTCGGCGCTACGTCGTTCATTCATGCACCTTGTTCGTTCACGAGCTTCTCATCCGCGAAATTATTCAATGAAATCGAGGTACCCGCGTGTACGAGGATTTTTATGGATACCCCGCAATTTGCCACAAGTCGCTACTCCTAATGCCTGATGCGTTTCCTGATGCGTGCCAACGTATTATCCGCTCGGTAAATCTTCAAGTGAAATTACGAGCGCGAGGATGCTTGTTCGAGAGAGAAACAGAAGATGCGCTCGCGCTATGCGATATGCGACTGGAATTGCAAAATGGGGATATACGAATGAGTCGAGAAGCTCGTCGTCATGGCATGCATCTCCGTGTATTTCCATTCGTTCGTCATTAAACTCAGCGGACTTTCACTCGAATATTAAAGACGATGACGAGTCCCCGGCCGGCTAGCTAATCGGAGACGCTCGTGGACAACGAGGCTCGTTGGTGAGAAGAAGCGTCGCAATTATTATCCTTACTATATTTCTGTCGAAACTCGAAAGTATCGCGGTGCAATGAACCATGTTTAAGACCGTCTCGCACCAGAATACAAAAGTATCACGAACGAAAGTATCGCGAATTATTTTTGTACACAATGTTCACTCTCAGCCTTTCGGCAGCTGTGCGCGGGTTTTCCGAAGAGTGTATAGTCGTGCTTTAGCAACCTCACGGTCCTTTTCACATGTTTTCGATATCTTGGAATATAAAAATCTGCATACTCCTATTCCTAATTCGATTTAAATGACTGGAAATAATAAGGGCTTTAATGGGCTTGTGAATTTAATTATTTTGACCGTAGATTTAAATTTTTGGGCCCATGAAATCTTGAGATCTTGTATTTTCACATTCTTATAACGTTCTTGAGAATTCTTTGATAATTTAGTTTTAGATTACAAGATGTAAGTACTAAATTTTTTGAATTCTTGCATCTTTTTCCATCTTTGTGTTTGTTTTTCATTCTCATTCGCAAAAAAAATACATTACATTTCAGTGTAATTATTTTAAATTCATCTACATTGACCTCATTTTTAATCGAGCGTCATAACACACTCGATTTGCTTGTCTCGATCGATGTTTGGGGTTTCGAAACGAGATTGATCAATAGTCGAGTACTAAATAGTTCTCATCGTTTCTTTTTCACAAATTTAAGGAAGGAGGAGAAGTCGCGTGTCAAAAGCGCGGAAAAAAAACTAATAGACATTATAGCTTATGAGGCTACTCTCATAAGACGGCCACGTATCATCTACATATCAATCAACGTTGTAATCAGCGACGCAACGAGAAACCTATACATATCGTAAAGTGTGCTCTATTATATATTAGATAATTTAGTTGCGGAGAAAAAAAAGTGAAGATTCGCGTAATAAGGTATATAACACTATGAAATATGTATATAAAAAACGTATATCCTCTTTGGAAGGCGTTTGTCGCTTTTTAACATCGGGGCGAAAGAAGGTGCTCGTGCTTCTTTTAAGCCACGAGTATCCTTTCTTAATTCTTGAATGCACAACTTTGAGTGCACAAGCCGTTTATCCGAGGAGCGTCGCGAGTCGAGTTTTGGAAATCCTGTTGACACACGTATATTGCAATGATTTGTATTCCAGATTGTTTAAATCAAGCTCTTTCCAAAATTCAAATTGCGAATATAATATAAATGGCAAAAGTATGCAAAGCTCGAAATTTTCTACATTTTTTTTTATACAAGGGATTTTTATGAGTAATAATACAAATTATTTATATGACCATAAATATTGACATTTTTATCTAATTTAATACATTGAATCTCTCATTTATACATTTCAGGTATTTGCAGCAAAAAATTATTCTCTTTTTATTTTCGATTGGAAAACTATTCTTCAATCTAAAGAAAATCAAATTAATCTGGAAAAAATTTGAGTAATTAGTGATTTATTATTCCTTGTAGAGCGACGTCAATTCGTCGCAAAAAAAAAAATCGCGAATCGTCAGCTAATACTTTATATCGTGTGAAAAAGAAAGGAAAAAGGAACGAATGCAAATGGCCGCGAATCAATAGCTTGATAAGGATTAACGAGGACGATCTCTCCGACCGAACGGAAATCGTCCATTATTTTACCGCTTAGAGACCAAACAAATGGCGTATACCTATACTTAATATTACGCGTCCCAAACGCACGAGGTGACTACCTAACGTAGAATATTTATTAATTATGTATAAAAAAAGCAAATGGCTCTCAGACCCTTCCCTCTCCCTTCTCTCCCCATCCTCTTGTCCTTCCTGCCTGAAAGAATATACCTATGTATGTATACATATGTATTACAAAAGCGTTACTGTATTATAAGACATTATACGTGTATAATTGACAAACGAAAGAAATGTTGATTGTAAATGTTAAAAATAAACGGTGTACAAAAATGTCGGACGGATCTTTTTTGATGGGCAATTACGTCGCGACGTTCTACAATCTTGATGAGATGATTTACAGCAGTTTAAAATAGCTTTATCTGGTACCGTCTGAACTTTTCCTTCTCAATCCAAAAATAAAACTGGTATATTTACTTCGAAGATTGGAGTACACGATATTTCATAATAGCGTCTTAAGAAAATAATGTAAGAGCAGATAAGCCAAACTCGAGCATCCAATATTTGAAGAAAGATGAGAGAACTTTTTCATAATTATAAATTTGCGGATGGAGAATTAAGAACTTATATATAATAAAAAAATTGTTGTGTGAATAATAATTTCAAGAAACATATCATTAAATTCCTCTCGAGTCGCGACTGTGAATACCACCCTGTTGTTAACCTTTGTATTTTTCAAAGAACGTGAAGTTTGGTATTTGGAGGATCAAGAATTATTCCAGAGACGCTACGCTATATTAAGAATTAAATTTTAAAGAAGAGTAAAAAAGAAAATTTGAAAAAATCTACAAAACATCGACTTGCATTAATTTGTTAATCGCAAAATAATTACTTACATAATTATTACTTTAAAAAATTGTTTGGTCTAATAAAAAAAATATACATTAGTAAAATGATTATGTCAATTTAGTTTTGTTATATATACTGTATAAATCTATATCATTTTTATTGTCTTGGAAATGTGATGTAAATCTGATTGATAACCGTATACAAACGGAACTGGGAGCAGAAGCAGCTATCTGTGATATTTATCTGGATTATATAACGAGAGACCTGGAGCTCTCTCGACATTAATCTTTCAGCATCTGGAAATTTCACGGCAACCATGCATTGCATGTTTCGATTTTGTGGCCCCTGTAAACGACGTGGTCAAGAAACACGAGGGCATGGCTCGCGTCGAGATGGCCGCGGCGGAGCCCCCGATATCGATATGCGCTTTTAGACGCTCAACGGCAGGAATAGAAAGAGAGCTCTTAGTTATTCATGCCTTCCCGGTATCTGAGCCGTGAGAATCGATAAATCGACCGTTTGCTCATGTTGGCCGACTAACCTTACGTTACGCCGAGCTTTTCCGTCTTTATGTAGAAATGGCCGAATTCTCGTTGAGACGTTGAGAGGCAGTTCCATCGGACATTATGATAATTGATCGGCAAAATAAATCGTAAGTAGATTTTATCAGATTTTATGGAAGAGAAAGATGTTTGTGTGATTAAAGAAGAAAAAAGAACGATGACTGTTCCATCGGACATTATGATAATTGATCGGCAAAATAAATCGTAAGTAGATTTTATCAGATTTTATGGAAGAGAAAGATGTTTGTGTGATTAAAGAAGAAAAAAGAACGATTAAAAAATCGAGTCTTTTGCTTTCCGATTTTGAAATATGGATCTAGATAATGCATTCATTAATGCTTGTACAAAGTAATAATAAAAAGTTCTCAAGTACGTTTGTTCTACATGAAATGAGATGATGTTCCTGAAGAAATATGTTGTATTAGTTTTTTTCTTTATTCAATACACTGGAACGGAAGTAACAACAAGTCGATAACTCGATGAAATTCTTATCAGCGTACAGCGGCTTTATTATTAGTACAAAAAGCGTCTTTACAAAATAAATAAGTTACAGGCTCCGAATGTGGAAAGTCGAGCTTTCTTCGTCTCGTTCGTTTTACTCTCTTCTCCGCTTCTGGCATATCTTTCGATATCGACGGAAGTAACGATCCGCGAACAGACGCTTTTCTGGAAGCGTATGGAAAAGACAACATAGCCGTGATTATAAAAAAAAAAGAAAATAGATGGATGCCTTGTTCTTTCGGCCATTCGCAGGAACGCGCTTGCCCTGTCAGGTATCAGAATAATCCTTTGTCCGCAATTTTCCCGACCAAGAATCCATCGTTGTTGTTAAAATCTTTAGCACAAATTTCGCGGATTTACGATGCGACGAACGGTCTTCGCGCGCTTTTCCTGTCGGCTGCCAAATAAAAATGTTTCCACGGAAGACCTCATAGATACATCTATACAATTGTCTCTCATGTTTATCGAGAACATATTCGATGATAACAACGAGATGCCTTCATCGTTGATCTCCTCTGTTATCTACGATGTTATCATCGCTCATATCTAGGACATCTTCATTAATAATTACGAGCTACCTTTTAATTAAAATTGGCCTCTCGGTTACGGGCGATCGACGCCCGTTTTCTGATACACGGATCAATCGAACCGATGACTCTTGACGTCCAATCCGGGAAACTTGACGGAAGCCGACGCGATTGAGCACGGAGATCATTTCGCCGGGTGAACACGTGTCTGGATTAGTATTGGTATCCTCCATTACTGGCATAACTCTGTCCGCCTCCGCCGCCACCGCCGCTGCCAAAGCTCGGCGCACCGTAAGTCGACGACGGTCTGCCGCCTCCGCCGCCTCCAGAGTAACCGCCAGAGCTGAGGATAATGAGAGGAAATTATGAGAAGAACATTCGATCGGCAAATTTGTGAATCAATAATAAAGAATAGATAAACATTTATGTATGAGATTTTGGAGTTGAATAAGAAATTTCACGAAGATGTGAACAAGAGAATTGAACTATATAAGCTATAATATTAAACGAGACAATTCATTAAGCCAATATCTTGCACAAAGCTGATGTTTGCATCATCACAAAATAATTTCGCATTTAATCGTTACAAATATTTTTCTTACCCGCCTCCGAAACCGCCACCACCGGATGGGGCACCATAAGACGTTGACGGTCTTCCGCCACCGCCGGAATATCCGCCGCCACCTCCCGAAGGTGCACCGTAAGTAGAGGACGGCGCTCCGCCGCCACCGGAATATCCACCGCCACCACTGTAGCCGCCGGAACTGGGCGCTCCATAGCTAGTGGAAGGTCTACCACCGCCACCGCCGCCGCCGCCGCTACCGCCACCGCCACCGCCCTGCGGTGCCCCATAGCTTGTAGAGGGTGCGCTATAAGTCGAAGAAGGCGCTCCGTAGCTCGAAGAAGGGGCTCCACCGCCAAAACCGCCGCCGAAGCCGCCGCCGCCGCCGCCACTGCCACCGCCGGAAGGCGCGCCGTACGTGGACGATGGCCTGCCGCCACCACCGGAAGGTGCCCCGTAGGTCGAGGACGGTTTACCGCCGCCGAAGCCGCCGCCACCACCAAAACCACCCCCGCCGAATCCGCCACCTCCGCTGGAAGGCGCACCATAGGTTGAAGACGGACGTCCTACGGATGGCGCCCCATAGCTGCTGGACGGACGGGACGGGGCTCCATAGCTAGAGGACGGTGCTCCTCCTCCGCCAGAGCTAGGCGCTCCATAACTGCTGGAAGGCGCTCCATAATTGCTGGATGGCGGCGCTCCGTAGCTGCTAGAAGGAGCTCCTCCGCCGAAACCACCCCCGAGTCCACCGCCGCCACCACCGCTAGACGGTGCCCCGTAGCTCGCTGAGGGTGGTGCTCCATAGTTTGACGAAGGGGGTGCTCCGTAGCTCGTTGAGGGGGGTGCTCCGTAGCTGGAGGACGGCGTTCCGCCGCCACCGGAATATCCGCCGCCACCGCCACTGGAGTATCCGCGGCCACCGCCACTGCCACCTTGACTCGGCGCTCCGTAGGTCGAGGAAGGTCGACCACCTCCGGAGTAACCGCCACCTCCGCCACCCCCGCCAAATCCGCCACCCCCGCCGAATCCGCCACCGCCGCTCGAAGGCGCACCGTAGCTCGTCGATATTCCTCCACTGCTACCGCCGGAATAGCCGCCGCCGCCGCCGCCACCGCCGCCACCGCCGCCACCGCCACCTCCTAGATTAGGGGTGCCGTAACTGGTTGAGGGTGGCAGATAGTTGCCCGAAATTGGCGCTGAAAATAATATTAGATTTAGAGAGAGAGAGAGAGAAAGGGAGAGAGAATTGCCGTCTTTAAAAACATATTTTAAGGTAAAAGAAGAACTTAAATCATATCCCTCTTAACTGAAAGTTCTATTACATTTTAATTGAGATTTTATGTCCAGAAAAGTATAATTATTCATTTTATTTAGAGATTACGCGCGCACATTCTTTGCTCTTGACTGTTCTTTCAACTTTTACTTTCTTGCATTACTGATAATTTTTTATTTAATCTCTGTTTGCAATATCTTGGCGAAATTACTATTAATGAAACGTTTATTGTTTGCGGCGAAGTCATTGGCGACGAGATAGTAAATAATAAACTTCGACAGTAGCATTTATGTTACTTCCTAGCAATCGAGAACCAGTACAAAGTAGAAATTCGAAAACTTTGTTTTCTCTTTTGTTTCAATAAGAATTTAGAGGGATATTTAAGCAGCTTCTTCACGATGATACTTTATCGGCGGAAGTTAAATTTGATCGTATACTGATTAATGACGCTCGAGGATGAAAATCTTTCGAGATTAACGGCGCGTAAAGTCAAAGCAATTTTTACAAATATAATAGCAAAAAATCATAGATTAAAAGTTACACGACATATTTCCGAAGTTGCGCTTTGGTTGAAAAACGCACGATATTATGAGTCTCTCTCTCTCTCTCTCTCTCTCTCGTATAAATAAAGATTTTACTCGCGTCGGAGAGTATTCTTTAAATCTAACCCAGTGCAACGACATAATCAGACCGTGACGATTTCTTATCTGTGAAACTTCATCTGCCATCTGTGCTCGGCGCGCTATCATTATCGGCTAATTCGTCGTCTCGCCGTAAGAGAAAAAGAGAGAGAGAAAAAGCAATTACGTGTGCACGTGTCGATTGAAACGCCAACGCGAAATTTTCACGATAATCGCACGCGTGGTATTTTTTACGCGCGTTAACGCTGATTGCGTCACGCTCGCTTTCATCGCGCGCTGATGCACCGGAACGGCGCATCCGATTGATTTATCGCGCAAACGTGACGCTTGAAGAAGCGATTTATCGCCGGTATCACATTTACCAACTAGAATCGGCAATCGTTAACTATAAGATCCAATGTGTTAATTAATCCTTGATTAGCGATTCGCCATTCTCTTTTGTACTCTCCTCTCTATTATACAGGCAGAGTTTTAATTTCGAATTGGCGCTGAAAATAATATTAGATTTAGAGAGAGAGAGAGAGAAAGGGAGAGAGAATTGCCGTCTTTAAAAACATATTTTAAGGTAAAAAAAGAACTTAAATCAAATCTCTCTTAACTGAAAGTTCTATTACATTTTAATTGAGATTTTATGTCCAGAAAAGTATAATTATTCATTTTATTTAGAGATTACGCGCGCACATTCTTTGCTCTTGACTGTTCTTTCAACTTTTACTTTCTTGCATTACTGATGATTTTTTATTTAATCTCTGTTTGCAATATCTTGGCGAAATTACTATTAATGAAACGTTTATTGTTTGCGGCGAAGTCATTGGCGACGAGATAGTAAATAATAAACTTCGACAGTAGCATTTATGTTACTTCCTAGCAATCGAGAACCAGTACAAAGTAGAAATTCGAAAACTTTGTTTTCTCTTTTGTTTCAATAAGAATTTAGAGGGATATTTAAGCAGCTTCTTCACGATGATACTTTATCGGCGGAAGTTAAATTTGATCGTATACTGATTAATGACGCTCGAGGATGAAAATCTTTCGAGATTAACGGCGCGTAAAGTCAAAGCAATTTTTACAAATATAATAGCAAAAAATCATAGATTAAAAGTTACACGACATATTTCCGAAGTTGCGCTTTGGTTGAAAAACGCACGATATTATGAGTCTCTCTCTCTCTCTCTCTCTCTCTCTCTCTCTCTCTCTCTCGTATAAATGAAGATTTTACTCGCGTCGGAGAGTATTCTTTAAATCTAACCCAGTGCAACGACATAATCAGACCGTGACGATTTCTTATCTGTGAAACTTCATCTGCCATCTGTGCTCGGCGCGCTATCATTATCGGCTAATTCGTCGTCTCGCCGTAAGAGAAAAAGAGAGAGAGAAAAAGCAATTACGTGTGCACGTGTCGATTGAAACGCCAACGCGAAATTTTCACGATAATCGCACGCGTGGTATTTTTTACGCGCGTTAACGCTGATTGCGTCACGCTCGCTTTCATCGCGCGCTGATGCACCGGAACGGCGCATCCGATTGATTTATCGCGCAAACGTGACGCTTGAAGAAGCGATTTATCGCCGGTATCACATTTACCAACTAGAATCGGCAATCGTTAACTATAAGATCCAATGTGTTAATTAATCCTTGATTAGCGATTCGCCATTCTCTTTTGTACTCTCCTCTCTATTATACAGGCAGAGTTTTAATTTCGCCCATTCAATCTCGCAATCGAAATTGGCTACCGTCTCGATTTTAAGAGGAATGAATAATTCATATTAATGAAATCGAATAATAATAGAAATAACGCTCGGGTTTTAATTGCACAAAAATTGATTGAAATAAAAAACGGGGAACACGCAGTAAAATATTTTAAAACAAAACGTCAAAAAAATGAAAATAAAAAAAATAAAATAGAGAAATAAAGGTGAGTTGTGCTAAAAATCGACACGTTTAGTCGAACAATAATTTTAAGTTTCAGCGAGACACCTTCCTCCAATTAAACGACGTATCTCGCGTACAATCGCAAAGTTCTGCAATAATTTGTAGCTTAAACAATGACTAATCCTGCAAGTGTGTGCGCATGACGTTTACATGTGTTAACGAAGTCGAGACAATCGCGGCGCGTAAGAGTGTGGATGAGATTTGGCTTCGGCTTGCACGCTTTCGAACTGTATTACGCTAGATCGCGAGTGATAACGTCCTGATTTATACACCGATTCTACACGCCATGCGCAATTTGCTAAAGATGCTGGCGATAACTCACGTCACCCTAATGCTCGTCTATTTCAAGCATCGCGCGCGCGCGTTTTCTACTTTTTCGTGCGCCCCGATTTCACAAATTTGCCTGTGCCACTTGAAAGACGGCTGCGAGAAAATAGAATATAGAATCGCTTAAATAATCGGAAGAAAGAGGAAGTTCAAGGAAATGTTCCGAGAATAAATTACGATAATCTGTGATATAAAAACATCTTGTTTGAATAACGGAATTACCGGTTATTGCTATACATTTATTTGATGGCGTGCGTGGTGCGTGAAACTGCATAAAGTAGTACGCCAACAAGAGTGCTTGAACCGGAAACTGATATCGACCCAAAACACGATCGCGTTTTGCGAAACGTTTTAATTGAGACTAGAGTACCTTTAGTATCTAATAAGAAAATTAATAAGAATGTTATGTTTTTGCGCTTGAAGAGCGTTGAAAGCAATGTGAGGGATTTAATCACCGAGATTTAAATAATTAGTATCGTAATTTTTTATCTTGATTGGACATTCTGTTATCTTGATTTCTGATAGTATAATGAATGCAATATCGTGAATAATATTGTATATTATATTTTTACTAAAATAATATTTTTCTCACTCATACTTAACATTCTAGTTTGGAGATTATAATTTTGATGGAATCTAATTTACTATATGAATGCTAATGATTAGTTAGGTAAAGTTAGAGTGAAAACGTTCTTCAAATCGTCGCGCGTTCTCCTCGCGATTTCTCGCTCGTGCAAAAACAAACCGCGTCGCGAGACAACTGTTAAATCTAACCGTGGACTTTCTAATAAGTTCTATATGTTGGCTACAAAACATTATAATGTGATAATACTAATTAAAAATATTACACGACGGGCCTATTCACATAATGCGTGCATTAGCCGTAAAGTTGACACAGTGCGCTTCTTTTTCTACACAATATTGTCTTGTAAATTTTACTAAATTCTACTAAAAACGTTACTCTTTCAAAAAGTGATTCTTTTAAATGTAATAAATTTAGCACGGCATGATATTAAAAAGGAAGAAAGAAGAATAACGTGATGCAAATAACTTTAATATATCTTATAAAAGTATCCTTCAAAATTATTAATGCAATTTATCTTGTTTCATATAATATAAACTATATGATTTTACGACTATTTTTACTCTCGCGGGAAATTTATTTAATTAGCAGAATCTTCATCTAATAATATAAAACATTAATTAGCACGAGATATCTCTCAAATCTCTCTTGTGTTAATACAATATTAATTCTATTCAATTTCACGCGTTTCATTTTATAGAAAGTTAACATATCCTCCTTTTTAGAGAAGCCTTTTTCATGATATGACATGACATTGAATCCATCAGTTGCCGTCTTTCCTTTTGCATGTCACGATATATCTAGTATATTATATTTTCTCGTAATTAATAGAAATTTACATCGTTTGTCTAAGTTTGCGAATTTTGAAAACGCGGGAAGGTAGTTTCGGCTCACGAGACTCAAGGGGTCGAACGTTGTGACAAGGACCCTTCTCTTACCCTCAGCGTGGATCGGTCTTAGCAGCAGGGCCGTTGCGGCCAGCACGGTCGCTGCCAGAGGGGCCCAGTTTCTCGCGGGTCTCATGGTCCCCGGCGATCGAACTCTCGTAGATGCTTCTGCGGAGTCCCTCGTCGCGCCGAGTCACATGCACGAATTTGCGTTCCTTGCGCTCGACCGAACGCGAGTGCTATAATTGTCTTTTTCGTCTCTCTCTCTCTTTCTCTCTCTTTCTCAGGTACCGTCTCTCGCGTACGTGATAATACGGGGTAAACGACAAGAAACAGATGCGAAATCGAGACGCGGCGGCTCAACGTGGCCTGCTTGACGCACCGTGCGATTTCGTCTAACGTGCTTCAAACAGCGTGCATCTCGTTTATATAGTTGGCCGTCTTTCGGAGAAAGTCCTCGTCGCGCGAGTGCAGGAGGATGCTACCGACCAGGTGAGACACCCGGGGAACGTGGGAGGCAGGTGCGCGAAGAAGGATGCCGACGGGGGGGAATAGACAACTGAACAAAATACATCGCGTAGGAATCGCTTAAAGTGGGGATCGAAGGACCACCGAGTTGCTCTTCGAAGGATCGGCAACGGGATGCTCGCTCGCGATTGACCCTGGTCAGGCGGTGCGTTAACGAGGCGGCCCTTTTTTTTCGTTCCGATGACGGACAGACGTTCTCTCGCCGCGAGAACTTAACGCTCTCATTGCGGGAAATGTTGAACGGCTGGCCTTGGTTTCATCTGGCTCTGATCGGATCAGCGAAAGTAATACAGCATCGTTTTTGAGCTCTCGTAAACCCGCGCAGCGAGGGATTCGAATCGATAGGAAATAAAATATTTCATCAAGAGATGAATCGTGACTCACTCGGAACATTATAAAAATCTAAAATATCGGATAAATGCCGTTTCTAATAAAGCATAAGTAGAAAAAAGCGACAGTAAACGACTTCTTTCTTTAACGAGATTTTTTTTATGAAGGTAAAACTATACATTCTATAGAGGTAAAATATTTTTTTTATATTTGTATAAAAATTTCTAAAAAGTTATTTTACGCCTATGATACATATAAATATCACATATTAAATGAAATAAAATGTTTATAAATCGGTATATTTATAAGAATAATACGACACGTTATGGATGAGCTATGAGTTGCTTGTTTCACAAGTGACCTAAGTAAAGTTTCGAAAATTTCCGCGTCATTCCTTCAAGTCCTTTCTCCGAAAAGTAAGTCCAATGAAGACCATCTGTAAGCAAGAAACGTGCGATCGAAAATTGTTTGCTCGTTATTCGTCGCACGCGCAGCTTCACTCGAGAAGCATACTTGTCGACTAGAAACTAGATAACTAATTCGAGGCAGAGGATACAAACACATCATGCTGGCATTACAATATTCATCGATATTGACAAATATATCACAAACAAGAAAGAGTGAGAAAAACACATTTTACGTTCCTATATATATAAAATTATAAATGTATAACATTAAAAAAAAAATTAATAATTACAAGCTTGATAGAATTTAAAATCGTCAATTAATAAGAATTATAATTGATTACTGCTCGATTGCAAAATTTTATTCAAAAGAAATAGGCTTCAAGCAGTGAAGAAACTTACTATGTGAAACGAATTTTGCGACTTGTCAAATCTCGTATAAATGCCGATTTAGGATATCCGGGCAATATTTGAGCAATTTGCCTGAAATATACGTTTCGCTATAATCCATTGCGATTTCTAGGTCGAGGACAGATCTACTCATACAAGGATCCGCTCGCGAAAATGATGAGATCGCCGATGAAATATCGCACATTGTCGCCAAGATTATTTCACGATAAGCTACAACCTCAACCGATTCTGAAAAGGACAAATAAAGCACTCGATAATAAGATATGTCGCGAACGTCTCTTAAAATACCATAATATTCATTAATGTCTAGAATTTCAGAATTACGTCATTTTATAAAAAAATTTTTCAAATTTTTGCCCAAAAATTGTTACATAAACATTTTATATTTAATAAATACCTCGGGTCATTAACTGCAAAGGAATGATTGATTAAACGCAAAGAAGAAATGAAAGTTAAGCAAGGAAAGTTATGAAAGGGAACATAAACGCGGAGGTAAAGAGTTGTTTTTTGCGTCTGAAACTATTGTGTATATACATATATCATATTATACACATACACGCGAGAGATGTACCGCGCTTCATAATCAGCTTAGCGTTATTCTTGATCGTGCGCGATTACCGTCAACATTCTTAATTCTTCCTCTCCGTGAACGAGCGCGCAACGATTTTACAGCTCGCGTAAGCACAGCGGGTGCGCTCGTTGCCCTAAACGCGAATGGCGCAACATGTAGTATAATCGATAATTTGTAATAGCGGGAGTTCGTATAATTTGTGTTCCGTTTCGTTGCTTGCTTCGTAGCCGGAGGTGCGATATTGCGTCACGCCCGAGGTATAATAACTTAATAGCGTATACACGGAACGATATGATGGAAAGAGAATTCTGTGTCGGAGCGCGTTTGACGCTCGTTGACGAAAATGATTAACGTGCTCTATGTTGTCACGATAATGATTAATAAAATAGGGAAATAATAAATTATGAAATACATACACGACGTCAGAATGATTGAAACGTTTCTTATTTAAAATTACGTTTTCGATCTAATCCTGTAATCCAATAACGTATAAATCACAAACACCATAATAACAATTATATTAAGAATTAAATATGCTAGATATACTAGTATATTCGTTCTTTATCGGCTATATAAAGAAATCAATTAGCTTAACAATTTTAATTTTAGACAAAAAAGAAATTAATCGTATGTTTAGTTCATTCTTTAAGAATTTCATACAATTTTCACAATTCGTTTCTATAAAAATTCAAGCGTAGGTATACTAATAGCTTTTATTTATAGATGATCTCGATTACAAAGAATAACGATTTTAAACAGCCAATCGCTGCCGGTGAGTCACTTGGACAGCGATTCGATCAGTATCATCGGTAGCCGATCCAATTAGCGCGCGTGACAAGTCGCGGAGAAGAATCTCTCCGCTCTCCGCGAGCGTGAAATTCACGATCCCGGCACCTACGACACTCTCACCGATTGCTGAAAGAACGGCGCTCTTGCTAAATCGACGATTTATTATTGCTCGTGTAGCAATAACGCAAGCGCGCGCCCGGCGCGAGATGCGCGTCTGTATGCGGCTACGACAACGTTGCGGTAACGCGTATCGCTTGCTGGCCCGGTTTCAAGTGTCTCGATCCTGATCGATCATTGCGACATAATTGATGTGACGTGCCGCGAAAAAATGTACGTGAGATCAACCGGCGCATCGATTGACGGATTATCAATTAGCAATATTTAACGGACAGATTCTCTTTTCGCGCGCGTTTCTTCTATTTGTCAACAGTTTTACGAGCGTTCGGACACTTGGATCATCAGAAGAGACATGAGACAATTTGAAATAAAATTTTTTATCAATTTGTAAAAATTTTGTTGTTAGCCAAAGTATGGCGATATCTTTTACTTTATTAATAAGTATATACCATACAAGAATTTTATTTTATTACGCGAGTCGACATTTACATATGCTATCAAGATTGATCTGGAAAACTTATGTAAAATGAGATCTGCAATCATTCAGTAGAAAGAGAGGAAAAGAAAATTTTTTTATTAATTAAAAATACTAATTTCTTTTTTTTTAACAGGGAAAAAAGAGACATTTCTTATATATTTTCATTTATTCGGTAAAAAATCCTGGCATAGATTTCTGGTTGCGATTAGATACATCTGTGTGTTTCCGGCAGCATCGCGCGATTGATGCGGTCGAAATTTTATGCGAGGGATTAATCGGGAGTGGCGCGGGTTGATTCTTTCGAAAGACTCTCACTAGCATTATTATCAGTCTGATTTATGGCGGGAAAAACTTATTAATTGCTCTTATGCACGCGCAGTCTTACGCGTGTATGCCGTTAATTGTTGAGATTCTTCTCTTTTACCATGATGGCAATTGGATTACGTAATCGAGGATGCTTTGCGTTCCAGCTAGCGAGATTGCGATTCGTCGGTCACGTCGTAAATTAAAAACTAGACATGACTAGATGTGTCAGGAAACATCTCCCTGAGAGAACTATTCTCGCGCCGATCTAGTAGGTCAGTTTTTTTTTATTTCTTGCTATAATTTTTTTTATTACTAAGGAAATCTTTTTTTTTTCTTCCGAATTGGAGAATAATATTGCAGATGCCGGGTCTATCGATATGTCTCAGATTGGAGCTCGTTATTCCATATGTCATGGATTGCATTTCGAGGATCCTCCGAAAGACGCTGGACCAGACCTCTCGATCGGCGGTCCCGGCACAAAGGCGCGCTCTGATCGGATGCGGTCTGCAATTTGCATTCGCGCTCGGCGGCGAGCGGTCTCTGTGGCCGCGCGAGATTATAGAACCGCTGATTATTCAACGGCTATTTACAATGCATCGTTCCAGGTAAGCGTCGCCTCGGACCTTTTTTACGTTTATCCACACCGCAATCATGACGTTCGTAAATTAGAGAACCGACGACGAGTCGAGACTAGCAATCAATTGATCTTTGTGACTCTTTTCTTTCCTTTGTTACATACCGATGTTTCTTTGGCGTCGCCGATAAATTTCGGCGGTCATAGATTCTTGATCCTTGACCCGAGAGATATTTCTTCGTCGCGTAACGGACGAATCTTTGCAAAAGCGGCTTAGATTGATGAACTAAATGTAATTAATTCTATTTAATGTCAACTCAATTTTCGATAATTATTAATCTATCTGCTCGTGCGGAAAATGAATCGGACCAGCAGGTTCGCGCCGGCAGTCCTCCATTCGTATTCACGAAGAGAACACGAGGGAATGGCTCGTGACGCAAATGCATCTCTTTCGGTAATCGGCGAGGAGTCGCTTCCCTTCGTTAGCGCGAGTATTTTGCAAGCGCGCGACTCTCGTTCTCTGCGCAAGAGGAAAGCGCGATGTCAAGTTTTTCCAGCGTTTAGGTACGTCGCGTCTTGGGCGAACGCAATATAACCGCGCGAGCCTCCAGCCCGCGGGGGGAACTAGAAAAG